AAATAAAAGCAGCACCATGGGAAGGTGCAGCAAGAGAAAATCTGGTTCAGAAAGAGCCGTTAGATCAAAAATAGACACGAGATTTCAAACAGACACAAAGTTTAACAGAGATTGTCAGGTTTTCCCAGCACAKCTGAACTGGGAGCAGCTAACAGATATTTTTTCTGGAATATGGCAGCTCTCTTTTTTGGAATTTCCTCCTTTACTGGGAGAGCTCCTTGACCCAGGAATCGGCTCATTAAGATCTCTGGACTTGAGGGATTCGCAACAAGGAACCCCTCGGGCTCTGCTCCACCCTGAGGATTTGAGTGACCACGGAGAATGGGAAAGGAAGATGTTCTGCCCGAGGCTCTTGGCAGGGTCAGCGGGGGAGCACGGCCACATCCCRGCAATCCTGGATGCTCCTGTGGCAGTGACCTCGGGGTCAGGACTCCAGCGCTCCGGAGGGATGCCCCGTGTCTGCTCCAGGAGCAGTCAGGACTCATCCCATTGTCCCCGAAGGAAATTCAGAGTGTCAGGGCTTGGCAGCCCGACTTGGGGTGACACGTCCCCACCCAGGAAGAACAGCCAGCTCAGGGCAATGGGGACACTTTTCCCCTCCTGAGGAAATGGTGGTGCGGCTCATGAGGATTCATCTRCTYGGCTTAGTTGTCAGATAAAYGAGMACYCCYGAAAATCCCATAAAATCCCATAAAAAAGGGATTAAAGCAGAGCAGATTCCACCACAGGACCAACTTAGGCTCATCCCATTGCAGCAAAGCCAAACAAATGAGGTGATTTTAAGATATTTCACTGAGTCTTGTGGAAAAACCCCTTTGAGATTTCTAACAGAACTGGAATGCTGGACACAGACCATGTTTGGGAATGCAGCAGCYGTGGAAAAGGGATATTTCGGGTGTGCAGGGAGGCACTTGGGCTGTCTGGCACTACTGTACACRCTCCTCCAGGCAGGAGAATTCATAAATACAATTACACTGTGGAAAAATTTACACATTGTAACCTAATTTCTTTTCAAAAGAATACAGAATAAGAGGGTTTTAAGGTTAATCAACAGCCCAGGGAAACGCCAAGAGTTCTTAAGGCCTCTTGTCTGTCTCCAGGGCATGGTCTGCTATAGACTTGTTAAAGGGTGACTGTCTGTCTTTCTCAATAGAGGAGAGGTCGAGGTGAACCACTTCACTTTCATAAATCAAAAGAAAGAAAAAAAAGTGAGAAAATCTCCCGAGTTCAAACATTTCTTTAAAAACCCCCAAACTTTAAATACTAAATGGGCTTCATGGCTGCCATTTTGAAAAACATTAGTTTGCCAAAGGACCCTTTTGATTCCTATTGGAAAAGCGAGCGCTCACAGATAATCCATTGAGAATCCAAACCCCCACAAAAGGCTCCCCGAAACAATCGCGGCGCTGCTGAAGGACAACATTTTTGTGCCCGAAAGAAAACATTTTTTAACGCGGCTACAATCCATGACACATATATTCCTCCATTTCCTTTCAGTAATTATTCATTAGAAAACATTTAACGTCGCTGCGGATTTCACACTGGGCAGTCTGCACACAAAGGAGAAGAGTTGGCCCATTTAGAAGGGGCTGAGGCCGCCTTTTCTCATCCCGGGAGCTCCAAGGCGGAGGGGGCTGCCGGACACAAGGGGCCGGCTAAATTGTGCGGTTAACGGTCAAAGCCCCCCTGCCTACTTTGACACTCATTTAAAGATGACGGCGAACAATAGAGATTTGTTCTTAGCAACTCTTTCTTGTGCCACGGG